GTATAGAGATGAAGTGCTGGCCATGTTTCTCATCCAGCAATGTCCAAGGCCGGCTGGATGGCTTTCACCTCTGCAAACTGACTCGATTCACCCTCTCCTTCAGCAGTTTCTGCAACTTGCTGCAGGGGACTCCACACAGCTGCCTCCCATCTCTGATGCTTTGCCACAATACAGCAGGACCCATCAGTAAACAAGGCATACTGCTTCTCACTTTCTGACAGTAAATTATATGGCAGGGCCTCTTCAGCACACACCACCTCCTCTTCTGGTGACATCCCAGAATCTTTGCCCTCTGGCCAGTCCATGATGACTTCTAAAATTCCTGGATGACTGAGATTTCCTATTCAAGCTCATAGTGTGATCAGTGCAACCCACTTACTGCATGTAGCATCAGTTGTATGATGTGTAGAGGAGACCCTGCCTTCGAACATCCAGCCCGGCACAGGCAACCAGTGTGCCAGGAGGAGCTGTGCTTCAGTGCCAATCACTTCTGAAGCACCTTGAACCCCTTCATAGGCTGCCAGTATCTCCTTTTCAGTGGGAGGATACTCATCCTCGGATACTCTGTATCCCCAAGCCTCGGATCCTCTGTATCCCCAAGTCCAAAAGCCGAGGGGTCGATCTCGAGTCTCCCCTGGAGCTTTCTGCCAGAGGCTCTAGGTAGGACCATTCTCCCCGGCTGTGGTGTAAAGCACATTTTTCACATCTTGCCTGTTCTGGGCTGGTCCAAGGGCTACTGCATGAACTATCTCTTGTTTAATTTGTTCAAGGGCTTGTTGTTGCTCAGGGCTCCATTTGAAATCATTCGTCTTCCAGGTCACGTGGTAAAGAGTGCTTACACTCAGACTGTAATTTGGGATGTGCATTCTCCAGAACCCCACAACACCTAAGAAAGCTTCCGTGTGGTAACTCCTGCTGCATATGTGGACTACATGTGGACTCCTGCTAGATATGGCTGAGGGGGTCCCAGGGGGCTCAGGGTGTGCTATTCCCCCCTCTATGGGGCTCAGAGCTGTCACTTCCCACAGGGAATGCTCTGGCCTCATCCTCCTGTCTGGCTGCCATCGTGTCATTGAGGAGCTCCAGTGGTTCTTCACCAGTGCCCTCCAGCGAGGCCAGTACCCAGCCACGTACTGGTGAGTCCCCGGGATGTCACCATGGCATAATGGCAGGGTACCGTCCCCTCCTAACCCCCTTCTCCCCACAGCTTCGTCCCCATGGGGGTCCCAGCAGAGCCGGAGGGCAAGATCCACACTGGGCTGTGCTGGCAGCAGCAGGGTGACACTGCTGTGGTAAGGCGGGGTGCCGAGGGGCTGCAGGCACAGGGGGTGACCCAGAGCAGGAGGGCTGAAGGCTGTGGTGGTGCCACAGCGGGTGCCGGTGCCAGGATGTGGCAGCCTGGCCAGGAAGGAGGTGAAAAACACGCTGACATGGTACCAGGTGCTGGGGGCCACAGGGGGCTGTGCCCTGCTCCAGCTCCAGCCCAAAACATGTGAGTGGTGCCCTGAAACCCCTTCGTGTGCCCCCTACACTGCGACGATCCCACCACCTTTCCTGCTGCCTTCCAGCCTTCCCAGAGCAGGTCCCAGTTCACCCGATGATGCTGCTGTGGCCAGCCCTGGGTTACCACCAGCACTCGTCCTGGGCATGCAAGGTGCTGGGGCTGCCCTTTTTCCTGCTCACCGAGCCCGCCCCAACCCACACACAGGTACATGGCCACAGTGGATGCTGGTGGGAGGGCTCAGCATAACCTCTAGGATCCCACTGAGCTGCTGCCCCCATTGCAGATGCTGGACAGGGCCAC